AGTGAACAAATAAATAAATGGAATAGAAATTATTATTAATTAAAATAACTAAGTGCGTGATAGCTTATACACGCARGGCTAATCTCTTGTCTCCAGCATGTTATGCTTTCAGCTGTGAGAGCTTGAACACAAAYTGSCATTTTGAAATTGAAATAGCTGGCAGAGTGTAGCCTGGGGATGGAGCTACATGGTAACTGCCATTTTGGTTGAATGGGCAAGCGATTGGATATAGAAACAGATATTGGTATGCAAGTGATGGAAGGCAAAACAAAAAGTAAGTTTCTGCTAGATTTCGTTTTAAGTGTCTTTTTATAACTATAGAGAAAAAATATTGATCCTTTTCAACAACCCCCATGAGAATCAAAAGACAAAAGACYGGCAGCCATGTTGAAGGAATGAACAATAGATACCAATGAGAAAATCCTTTGTTGGAGCTCATCCAAGATGGCCGCTGTGACRTAACTTGAAAATGAATAGACTTAGGAGGCAGCTTAAGCCTATCTTTACCTTGGAAGCCAATTTTCTACTGCTATTCTTGTATCCTCTGGAGTTTTTGTTTGTTTCTTTACCCAGCCCAATCTATTGCATATACGATGGACATGTGTGTCTACTCCTATTCCTGACAGTCTTTCCCATGCAACATTCATACAAATGTGTGCCATTTTAGGTCCCACACCAGGTAAGGAAACCAAACCCTCAATGGTTGATGGGATRTCTCCTTCATATTTRTCCCGGCAGACTTCTGTTGCTTTCTTGATGTAAGATATTTTTTTCTGAAAAGAGAGTAAAACTTATTTTCTTTATTGTTCAGTGTCAAAATATAAATAGTTTTAGAAAATTTTGTGATGAATGAATGAATTGTCCAATCAGTAAGGGTTAATTTTTTAACCATTCAATCAATTCCATCAACAGTTTGATAATCATTCCATCAACCACTTAAATAATAGATCATGATCAGCCAATAAATGAACCTTTCAATTAGTAAATCAGTCACTAATCAACCAATAAATGAATTAGATAATAATTAACCAGCCAATCAGTTAATCACTTCTAATCGTTACCAGTCATCTCGCCCCATTGCCATCTTGCCCCCACCATCTCGCCCCCACTATTCCATCTCGCCCCCTCCATCTCGCCCCCTCCATCTCGCCCCTACTTTGCCATCTCGCCCCACCATCTCGCCCCAATATTACGAAGATTACTGTTGAAATTCACGTAATAATAAGAATTTCGGCTGTCAATTGTGTATAAGTTTGACTTGGACGTGAGCGGTCACGATTATGCCTGACTACGACCAACGATAATAATTCACTTTTGATATTCGATTCAATTTCTCGAGTTGTTTGCAGTGAAACTCTAAAAAAAATCACCATAGTACGTATATTTGAAGTTAATTTACAAGTATGTCAAGTATTTCTATCAATTCAGATAATAAAATGAACATGATGTCAGTCGTGATGACACAACGTAGTAAGACCAATAAGCCGCCATTTTCAAATTTCTTTGATAAGCTGCTCAATGATGTCCCGCTCGATCGGACTCTCGATACGAATAAAGTAACACAGCATGCATTTTAAACTTTTATCGCAATGAAGATGTTTGCTTCTTTTCTGGATTATAAGAAAGCAAATTCAATATAGCTCGTGACCGGTTACACTCGATCAATATAGACCGTGACCGGTTTACCAGTCATTTGTTTGTTGCACGTGTATTGGTTGTTATGACTATTATGCTAATGTCGCTTATAGTCGACAAACTTTCCACTCTTCGTAAGTTTGAAGCAGGCTGTATTCAAAGAAACTTGAAAAAGTATTTCGATCATATCAAAAAGTAAATCGAACTAAAATGGTTATGTTTTATGTGACACACGTTGCGCCTCCAAATGGTTTATCTGTCGAGCTGTCTGGTACGATACACCTATAAGCATTCATTCGCAAATAACACTTTAACAAATTTATGCTTTCTTATTCTTATTTTGCCAATTTCTAGATATAAATATAAGACTAATCATCAACAAATCAACCACTTAACCAACCAATCAACTTATCATTAATAATTAACAATCCAACAAAAATATCGCTGTCAATTTATACCTTCCAAAATCCTACAGGGTATATCAGTTCTCCAAGTTTTTCATCAGATGTGGCCAGTATATTTTGTACTGTACATCCGTGCGCCTTCAGTTTCTCCATAGCAGCGTGAGTGACTGCATCTTTTGTTTGACTTGATAACATCAGGGAGAGTAAGGTCTGATAACGGATTACCTGCATAATGAACACATATTAATCACTTAAAGCTCATATTTATTTATTAATTTTATAACTGCGCTAATAATTGATGATGATGACAAGAATAACCAAAACAATGATAGCATAAATTCTTTAACTTCTTAATTAATTTTGTTTGAGGAAAATTTTAGTTCTCTAAGCTCATTAGAATTGAGAATTCCACATTCATATTTCTGGTCAGAAAAAAATACGAAGAATACAAAGGTTGAATATAAGTACTTCTTGATAAATACTTATCCAGCTGATAAAATTTGTACAAAAATTCTGGAGCTAATAATATTATTCACTCTCTGTACATCCATAAAAGAAGAAGAAATGAACAAACTTTGCAGGTGTTACAAAATTTCAGAAGATTTACTGAAGGTAATGCAAGTTTCAGAGACTCATATTACACAAAGAAAGATACAACTGAAACCAAATAAATATTGTTTATTTCTATCAATCCCTTTTTAGTTGCACCTACATAGGTAGATTTTCAGGGTGAATTTGTTGTTGGCACATGCGTGTACACATTGAAAGTAGCTTTACAACAGATTTTCTAAACTCTTTTATCCTAAATACATAAACTACAGGGTTTACAATGGAATTCACAAGCTGTAACAAAGCCACTGAATAAAATACTTGGAAAGGCTCTGTGATATAATATCCAATATTGAAAAGCAGATATACACTGAAGGGTAGCAATGTCAATAAAGACATGATGGTCATAATAAACAATGTGACAGCAAGACGTTGCTCTCTTCTTTGCTGAATATTCTGTGCAGCTTCTTGATGCAGGTGCATTCTGGCTTGCCACTTTACTTTGATAAAAATTGACAGGTAGCACACWGCATTCAGTAAGATCAGAGCAAATAGTAAAATACGCACAAATAAGTTGTATGTGTAAAAACGATACAGATAAAAACTAGGTAACAAATAAAGCAAAGATGGTGATAGCCAGGCAAACAAAAATGCAATAATATACCAACTCAGATTAGCTGTGAGATGTTTAAAAGGGCAAAATGTTGCAAAAACTCTGTCTAGCGATACAATAATTAATGAAAATAAGCATGCATAAAAAGAGTAACTAKTTATATAAGAAAACACAATATAAACTTGTAAATCAAACTGCCTTCCAATCGGCCAAGAAAAAAAGTTGAAATAGTGAATTGCTCTTGCAATACTGTATATCATATCTGCCACTGCCAAATTTATCAAGCAATAGAAACTACGCCGATGAAGACTTCTAGTGAGTAGGAAGATCATTACTGTCAATATGTTCAAGACAAGACTGGAAAAGCCAACCACTAGRAATGCACACATCCAAAAGAAGATGGCTTGTGACGACACATTGTATTGCACTGTACTATTGGTAGTATCAATGGACATACTGTCACATACTGGTGGTTCAAATTTGCTGTTTTTTTAAATGTTATTTGAGAAATCTGAGGAAAAAAGAAAATAAAAAAGCCTGAGCAATTTTCGATACAATATCAATTAAGATGAGTCCACAGCAACAAAAATAAACCATAAGTATCATTTAATACAATGGATAATGGAAAAAACAGTTGACTAAGAGATGGCTTCAAATCCCTTTCCAGCAAAGTATCAACAAGGATCCAATCCAAAACCAGCAGAACATTTTTTTCCCTAATTATTTTTTCTTGTTCAGAGTTGTTCATTTGACCTTGACTGAAAATGTTTGACCTTGAATATATGCTACTAAATTATTTGCAAAAACTTTATCACATTACCTTTAACAACTTCAAACTTTCTTGCTATTGCTTTTTAGAACAACATCTTGGTTAAAATGTCTTGATTTTTATTTCAGCTGCGACTGTGTGAATTACAGGCTACCAGGATTCACTTGTAAAAGCTTAATTGTGTACCAAGAGTTATATCCTTTTGTGGTGTTTACTCAAGGAAAGGAGAAGTGTCAATATGACATGACAGGCTATATATTAAAAGAACAGACCGCTAAAAAGTTTCATTGTTTGAGGGAACATACGTGCAGGTGTAGAAGGTTATTCTAGCATGTTAATTACATTGACAAAAGTTCTAATTTCTTTTTCAAGTCCAGCTGATCAAATTTACAAAGTAAATGAACAAAAAAGTAATAAAACGTAATATAACAACATAATGTCATATGTGAAAAAGGTTGCGTGTGATAATGAAATATTGCGAGAGTTTTACTTGTTTGTGGGAAGAGAGGTGTAAGYTCACAGGGGGGCGGAGGGGTGAGTATTGTTTGTACCTCTGGTGCTGCTGTCATATCAGCTGTTCGCTCACATCCCATAGAGTCAACTGGCGCATCTTTAGCCTTTCTCATTGCTTTGATGTTATTCAACTGATCTTTCCATCTCTCGGGGATCCAATCATTAYTGRCATTATTTGGCTTTGGTCTTTTTGGTTTGGCGTGATTGTCTGATGGCCGTTTTGTTCCTTTGCCCTTCGATTGACTAGTATCCTCTGTTTCATACTCGAYCTTCACGTGTTTACGTCTAGAAGCTTGTTTGTGATGTGTCGCAAGTGCAGAAAGGGCTTTAAGCCCAGCAGAACGAGTAGYTGGACGCGTTTTTGGCGGAAAATACTTAGAAGCGCTCATGACTTGACGGRCAAACTTATGATGGCGGGAAACGGTCACGTGAATCAGGGAGTAGACTGGTACGGACTCTAGAAAAACATCAAACAACTACTGAATTATATCTTTATTGATTGATTGGCTTATCTGAAATATACCCAAATGTAGGCCGAGCCTACAATGTTTGTTTTTTTCGTTATTTACAGTTTCCAAAATCTATAAGACTTCCGCTGGGATACCTGGTGTTGCTACCACAGGAAACCCAACGAAATGGGTTACACATAATCCACAATTCAGCCATATTTCGATACTTTCGCAATAGACCGCACAAAAATGTCACAAAATTTCAAGTCAAAGCAGAAAACACTGATATTCTAAACAAAATATAATCACTTTATTAATTCTCATCGCATAAAAAAATCTACTCATCACTCATCCATGATATATAATCAACGTTGCAAATCAAACATTGGTAATTGTCCTATATATAAAACGACCATGAGGTCTCTGCTTTTACATGCTAATACCCGCTAAAAACTAATGAAAAATATACAGTCTGGAAATATTTTAGTATAGGAATACTTTACAAAAAAAGAAACACTAATGCTTTGCCTAAGTTCTCGCTGATCTCAACTTTATAAATTTATTTTTTCGTAGCGGGTAGTCAGCGTCATTATAAGGACTATTCTTGCGACAGTGTCTCAAGAAAAGTCGCAATGTGACGCTAGCCACAAAAAGGCAGACAATAAAAATATGAGATGAAACCGCAGTTGCGTGGAAAATCCTATATGAGAGCCGGGGATGTGCATCTTAACCTCGTTTCCAGGGCTTCTCTATAGTTCAAGGCCCTAGGGACGAAGTTGATGTGCATCCTATAGCATTAAACTTAAACTCTTATTAAGGTGGCCCAAGTCTGCGTCGCCGCCCTAGAAGGGGACTGGGGAGAAGAAAGACGGTCGCGCGTAAACCCTAGAGCCACCACGCAGGTTAACCGAGCCACAGTGTACATTATCAATACTTAAATAATTTAAAAAGTCCTTACAAACATCTAAAATCCTTTAGATTAAAATCTGGCTGATGAGAGCATACAAAGAGTCTACAAATATGCTAAATTTATCCAAGTTTGTGTTTGATAAAAACCCTGACCAAGAGGAAATAGATCAATGACCTAGCGTTATGGACACTTTAGAATCCACAAAATGTTCGTAGCAGACTTTGTTGTCTACGATCCGGATTCAAATATATTTTTCCTCGAATGCGTGAAAAACTTGATGATTCCAAACAAAATTTCGTGTGGACGGATTAAAATATCTATTCCCACATTTCCAGGGGTTTTGCATTCAGAAGTTTAGCTGCAAACTAGTGGTTATCAAGTAAGAGTAACAGTACAAGCTTCACTCAATGGTCCACAGCGACCATGCTCGTCTTGTGCCCGGACTGTAAAGTGATATTTATTACCGGGCATGAATTGTGTCAGTGTACAAGCCATAGGTAACGGAAGGGCATTCACCACACCAATCTTCTTCCACTGAGCATTTTTTGTGTCTTGTAGCGCGAACAGCTGATACCTGGCGATTCGCGTCGATGACGTATTGTTATGCATATTCCATGAAAGGACAATACCATTGGAAACGACCGCAATGGAGACAACAGGGCGCCCAGGAGCATCCTTATTGCCGCCCTGTTCCTGATTTGCCGCGCCCATTACATTCCGAGGGGAGACTGCCATGTTTTGAGGTATCTGTGGTCGAACGTGTTGAAAGTTATTAGGCGTGTTCTGTGGTATTCTTGTTTGATTGTTCACGACCGGGACCTGATGCTGGACCACCTGAGTTCCTGGTCTTGAGCTCGGTGGCGATCTCATAGCTAATGAATTGGGATATTGCTGCACGGGTTGAACAGCCAGAGGTGCTTGTTGCTGGGCTGGAGGTCGTTGATAGACTACCATGGGTTGAGGACCTGGCAGACGTTGTAGTTGCTGATGAGGGTGTGATGCGGGAGGGCGTGGTTGACTTATAACCGTATTAGTAACATACGTACTCTTCTGTACTTGTGCTGGGTAGGAAGCGGAAGGGATCATAGTAGCCGTAGTCGTTTGTGGATGTACCGTTACAGTAACTGGAGCAGGCCGCCGTGTTGGTGATGTTGGCACACCTAACTGGGCCACATTTGAAGGATATTGTGGCATCCTTGGGCCTTGAGGAGGCTTCAACGTAGGGTTGGGAACACTTACATGTTGTTGTGAGTACGTAGCACGTTGTGGAAGCGAGGCTGGTGTTACARAGTGTCCAGGAATTGCTGCCTGTGTGGCTGTCAATCTTGATGTTACTGGTGTACCTTGTTTATTGACCTGGTTTATTGGTACTTGACTTTGTGCTGGTAATGTAGGTGTTGTTAATGGAGTTACTTGTTTGGTTGGTTGTGATATGTGGATGATCGGTGGAGATGGCGTGTTATGAGCTACAGCTTTTACCTTAGACAAGACCTAAAAACCAAGAACACAACCATTCATTCAATTATTGATTGTTTTAAGAGACCGCTGAACTTTCAGCGTGAAGACTCTGGGCTCGAGACGGTGTGAAAAACGGTCTGAACACAGCGCAATTTTTAACAAACATTTTCTCAAATTTTATTTGATTATACTCAAGAACAATGCAGGCGGGGGGGGGGAGAGGACCTGCATCATTAGATAACAGTCCCGACATTGGGGGGGGGGGGGGGGGGGAGAGGACCTGCATCATTAGATAACAGTCCCGACATTGCCATTTGTCTACTGTGTCGTGAGATTTTGTCAAAAGTCAAGGAAGACAGTTGTTTCGCGTTCATTAGAAAAATGATTGGTAGCTGAAATTTGAACTTTTAAAGGTTTTAGTAATACGCGTGAAAACAAGTGACTTACAAGATCGTCCGTTTGTGCACTTTTACTTTGTTTATCTTTCTTGCTCTTTTGGTTGTCTAAAAGGAATTTCACTGCCTTCTCAAGTTTTGCAGCGTACTCATGCAGATTTCGGTTTTCTTCCTCAAGTCGAGCGATTCTGTTAATCAGCACCGTCTCCGATTCTTGGTTTTGATAAACATCTTCCACTTGCTTAAACTTTTCTTCTATCAGCACTTTTAGGACCTGTTGGGATAAAATGATAAATGACATACTGTAAAAGGATTGAGAACTTACAGTCGCTTTGACGTTGCTTTATTATCATAGCACTAAAGGAAATCCCAAATCTCGTGCCTAGAGCTTGAGCGCTTTTCTTGCCGAGACCTTTCACTGCTCGTCTAATGCTGCGMGCTCCTGGGATCGGCTGTGCGAAGGGTGGATAGTGCTATCCAATGGATGAATCATCAGGCGAATAAAATCCATACAAAATCTATGGAGACCCTTTTTGACCTTTTCATTTATTCATTTACTGTTGAACAAATCGCATAATTTTGATTAATTCTAAACAAACACAAACCTTTTTCAGCTCTGCCGTGTCTAAACTGAGCGGCGGCGTTTGTGCTGTTGATGAACTAGATTTGGTCTCTACCACGCTCTTAGTTTTCTGTTCATCTACTGCTTTCGTCTTGGAAGAATCGTCGTGAGTGTCGCCTGGGATACCGAGTAGTTCTTTATTTTCTCCATTGGGATCCCTGTTTTCATCCCGGTCCTCAAGCTGGCCTAAAAGTTTTTTGGATACGGCTTTGCTGTCGACATGATTGCCTTTTGTCATGGCCATTTTGGGTGGGGTAGAAAGCACGGTCAAATCCTCTGGTTTTGGTGAGTGAGCTGGTGACGAGCCAGCCGAAGAAATGATGACGTCACTTGTATCTTTAGTCGTGTCTGCAGTTGCTTCATCTTTGTTTTGGTTTTGGTCATGTGATTTTTTTGTTGCTGTGACAACCTTGATATCATCATTTTTATGATCACTTTGCTTCTGAGGTGAGTTGGGACCACCTATTATACTAGTGTTTTTAGCTATTTGTCTCAAACGTGCCAGGACTTTGGGTTCAATTTGAAGTGAAGGTTTAGTTTTTGCTGTCTTTTCGTCACTTTCTCTTGCAGCATCACCTTAACACAGTAAAAAAGATATAAAACTAATGAGCGTCAAAGTAGATTCAGAAGTAGATTCAGGAGGTGCTCTATTAGTGATATGTTTAAAAGGTAGCAGCTGAATCTAAGAAATGGAACCCCCCTTCAAAAAAGTTGCAAACTATCCTTTGTGCRCTTCCTGTCACTTTGCAGAAAAAAAGCATAATTCTGGGAAGAAGACTAAATACATCCTGGATGAAGGGGAAAGAACAAACATTTCAAAATATTCTGGAAATATTCTAAAAACTTCAAAAATTCTGGAAAGAGAAATTTCAATGAAATAACAAACATCAAAAGTACTAACCATTATGTTGAGAGACATCTTCAATTTTTCTAGAAAAGAAAGAAAGGAAAAAAACACTAATCTTAATGAAGAAAACAAAGTTGATTTTCAAAAATAGAAATTGTCAGTACCTTCGCTTAGTAGGCAGTTCTTCAGTGATGTCTTCCATAGATTTTTACTTTTCTTGATTAAGAAGAAATAAAAGAGTTTATATTTGTCTGAGTTTGTATGCATATTAGGTAATAATCATCATATTCCTTAAAATATACTTAGGAACCCAGAAATAACACTATTTTCCTCATTTTCTTGTTATAGAGAAGTTACTATAATGCTGGCTTGAACATCAGACATTTTTTTTGGAAGTTTAAATTCCCATTTTGTTTAAATCAAATGGCTTACTAGAAAAGTTATAAACTGAAACTTTTTTTCCTGTATTCAAGAACCATTTTTAATGTTATTAAGTTCTGATATTAATTGTTCAGGGATGATTGGGATATTTGCTTCAAAAGACAAATTTCCATAAATTTGCATAATACCAACAACCCAAGCGTCGGTCCGCCATTAATCACGTGGTAACAAATTTGATCGGTCGCAAAAAAAATAATTAGGAAATTGCATAATGATTTATAAACAGTCTCACTAGAGAGAAAAAGACTAGGAATGATAGAAAATACATATATAAAACCATTGCAGTAGTTATTTCAAAAAATAAAGATGTCAAGATGGCAGCATATCACGTAAAAAAACAAAATGGCGGCCTCCGTACAGTCGAAACCGACCTTGAAAGCGGGAATCATGACAATTTCTTCAATAAATGTTACTAAAACTCTTCTTGTTTAACTCAATAACTGTCTAAATCATAAAATGTACAGAAATTTGACGTTTTTATTGGTGAAATATCCAGTTCTTCGGTTTTGTACAGCCTTCGACGAAACCATAWCGGAAAACATTCTTTAAATCAAGCCGTACGCAGGAAACACGAATCATAAAGAACAATACAAATACATACTTGGAAAACAAAAGACCCTGCATGTCTCACTACTAATTTCTCTTAAGTACAACAGTTTTAACTGCAATCGTATRATGTCTATGATAGTTCTTAACAATAAACTTTACAATACGTCATGAATTTCAATAACAATCAACTGACAATAAAAGTCAAGTCAATTGTAGTATTTCTTATTTTCTAAACCATCAAGTTCAACAACCATTCTTACCTGAAATCACTGTTGGATGCCTTATCTTTCAAAATATAATGTAGTGTGCTGAGTGCAACAGCACACACCTTGTGGTCAGTGGAAAGCTGCAATTTGCTAGCCCCACACTGCTTTCTTTGTTAGAAATTACTCTCCAAGACCTATTGATCCGCTTTGTGAATCATCACAACCAACATTCACCCACAATCTCTCAAAACTTTACAACAAAATACTATAAACATACCTCGCTAATCACAWAGATATTCARCTTTCCTTACTCTGTACCACGTGACTTTAGCTTGATCTGATTGGCTAAAGGATTGGCATTGAGGTGTGACGAAGCCCTACGTCACTGAGAGGTTTTTTTGCGAACGTGATCTTTACTTTCGTTTCACGGCCTATTACTATCTAAATCTTGTTAATCTTTTTTTCAATAAGCATTTTGATATTTTGATGTCAAACAATGATTAAAGAACTACTCTTTGAAAAGATTAAGATTTCCTTTCAGAGAATTTGGAGAAAACCTCTTTGGTCTCATCGCTGGACGATGGGTTCGAATTTCTCGAAACCCTGATGATTGAAAAACAGGTTGAGAAAATTCCAAAAAGAATTGAAAGTTTCAATAACAAAAGGCAATGGTGACTTTTTTTGGCTAAAAATAATTAATAAAATTGTCCATAGTAGTAAATATAATATTGGATTCCATAGAATATGKTATTTTTTGTGTTATGGAAACTAAACTCTCGCACTGAGTGGGTGATTTTTCAATTGGAAATTTTAACTTGTTAGCGTGTCTTCAAAGTAACACGTCTCCGTAGAGTAAACAGATATACCGCCTTTGGACATTGCGTGTGCTGCCAATCAGTCCATTCAATCAGTTGACTAAACATCTCGTTTGGTATGGCATAACGACCATTCACACGCAATTCCAGAAACGCCTTTTCCCTGAATCACGCAAACCAGAATTAAATTAAGATATTGGTCTTATTTAGTTTTATCATGAGAGATTTTTAATATTTTTTATTTTGAAATATTCTATTGTCTTTTCGCCATGAACAAAAAAAAAATTCAAGGAATGATCAGAGCTTATAATTGAAGTTAYGGTGAACCAGTTACATTTTATTTTTCCTAAGTTTTCAATATGATGTAGTAGTTCAGACAGTTCATCGTAAAACATTATACTGCCATAATCCATACGAGGAAATGATGTATTCCCGGTCGGATTTCCCAACAACATGGTGGCCATTGTGGGCGGCGAATATAGTCAGGCTGTAGCCAAGAAACAAAATGGTGGCCATTTACCAAGCATACATTTAAATTTTACGTAAAATTCTTGCTTATATGTATGTGTATCATGGCTTTTTGTGTGGATTGAGTGTACGTGATATATCAACAGCCACCAACTAATTTACTTAGTAATATGAGTCACGCTAGTGCAAGAATGATATTAGGTCACGAATRCTTTGRTTCATATTTTAWATACTCGTTASTCAGTGCCCGGCCTCTGTCCGCTTAGAACAGGCGGAAACAGATCAAAACGATCCTGGGGACRCGGAACATTCACACTGAWAGATCACATGCGGAGATGGTCAGTTGTGCCTTTTAGAGAAGGGTCAAAAARACCAGCTGGTACCTGGGAAGTCACGTACTCTCTCACCCTCCCCTCCCCTCTACTTCCTCTCCCTCTCCATAGTATTAAGAAAATCCTGAAGACTCCCACTTATAATCAACATTTTCCATCTTGTAATCTACCATTCTTTAATCTGAAAAACTATGCCTCTGTATAGGCTAGTGTCTTGGTTTATGCTAATCTACCATAGTTTTCATATAATTTAACTAAAAATTAGTTCTTATTTGATCATACAATGCCACGCCCACCTAGGGATTATCTGTAAGTTACCTCTTTTTTAGGGCCGCCATTTTGTTTGCCTGGGTGACCACTGCATGGTTTGTGGCGAATCATAGCAAATCACAACAAATAAGCTTGCGCGCTTGATATCGATCCTCGCTACGAAACAATGAAACGACAGTTTGGTATAAATGAGCCGTAAGAGAAAATAGTAGTTCTGCCGTGCCGAGAATATGCTTTCGTGTATGTCGAGGACATTTTATTTGGGCGCGCTATATGTGAAGCAAAATATCGTGCAGTTAACACGAGAAGATAAAATTCTTACCTCTAAGTGCTCAAGAATTATGGCGAAAAAAAATAAAATTGATTTTCTTATCGATAAGTTATTTCAAAACGAATCTTGGCGGTCAGATTTTTGTTTTTGTAGTTTTTTAATGCGGAYTAATTTGGCTGTGAAAGGGGGGRMACTGTCACCTATKRSCTCCCTAGTAAACTGAACTCTTCCYGTAAATTYATAATTGTTATAACAAATTYACAAAGAATCCGATTCAATACATTTTCAAACTGCATATGCATCGGCTCATCGGCTTGGTGAATCTAAGTGGGTTCATCCCAGTGATTCCACGGTTAGTACTTCGATGGCGTCTTGCAAAAGAAGCCCGAGTAACTAGACTAGAACGTAGTACCGCTGACCAAGTGTCCATAACAACTGAAACTGTTTACAAACCACCATCTGAGAAGATCTCCATAACTGTTAAAAAATGCCTCCTAAGAAGAAAGGAAAAGGGAAAAAAGGAAAGGGAAAAGGTGGTGATAAAGATTCTGGTTCTGACGGTCCAGTTCCAAAAGATGAACCGACCGAAAAAGAACAGGAATTACGAAAAGAGTAAGGAATTTCAATTTGAGTTTGATGGATCGCATACTTCTTCAAGGACTTCACTACTTCCATAAATTTTTCATACATTTCAGGTTAGATCAGCTCACTGAAAAGTTGAAAACCGTAAAGAACGAAGTAGAGGATTTGTATCCTTGACAATGATTCAAAAACTGAGCTTTAAATAACTTGTTTGTTTGTCTTGTGACTTCCCTCGTCTATTTCTATTTTCTTGCCAATTMCATCGTCAAATTTCCTTGATTTATGGTTCAGGAGGAAGGAAAATGAATGGTTACAAGAAGAAGCTCAGCAAACTAGACTTGAAAGTGTAAGTATTTCTAACAAAATTGCAGGAATGGGAAAAAAAATATCACACAGATAACTTCCATGTTTAAAAGAGCATAATTTTGTCAATAAAAAACTCATTTCATGTGGTTGATTATATTGATGTTTAACTGCTTTCTTTTTTAGCATGAGTATATGTCGTACATGTCCAAGAAAACACAAAAGCGGCAGACAACTATAATATCGTTAAGTGACAGAAACCAACAAGAAATCAAAAACATTGATGAGCAAAAAGAACAACTACTAAAAGAATTTGGTCAAAAGAAGGAAGGTACCAATATGCAAAATTGGCAAATATTATTTTCTCTTATAATTCAAAAGAAGGAAAACTGAAAATTAAAGCTATGACAATTGTGAATTTCATTATGACATCACTTTAACAGCTTTAAAACATTCTGTTGCTTTAGCACTAAGTATTATGGTTGCCATAGAGGATTCAGAGTGACTGCATATCAAATAAAATGCGCAAGTGCAATCTTTGATGTATGGTATATATCAAAACTGCACATGAGCAATCTTTGATGCATGGCTTATATCAAAACATGATACATTGAGTTCTGCTTTTAGAGGGAGATGGGTCCAAATTTCAACTGCTTTTGAGCATCTTTAGTGTGACATCATAATGAAATATGGCAAATTAAAGCTACCATGTAACTGCTTTCTAGGTTTGAAACTAGTGATGCTGGAAAAAGAAGCTGAATTGGCAAGAACCAAAAATGAATTAGCAGATTTGGAAGAATACCAAGTAAGTTGTAGAATATTTTACAAGCTGATGAAAGAATGAGTGGAGATGGAAAAAATATAAAATAAAAGAACATACCAATCAATATAATTTACTCACAACAGTGTTGTTCTTCTAGATCTTACAAAAAGATCAAGAAGCTGAAATTCAACGTTTGGAAAATGAAGTACAAACCATGAGAAAGAAACATTCTGAAGCCATACAGAAACTAAAGAGTTCTTTTTTGAGAGAAAAACGAGGATTTCAAAAGGAATCTGACAGCAAAATACAAGAGATGGCTCAACAGGCGACACAGGTTAATTCAGTGTAATAGTGAAGACTTCATGTCACATAAGCCTTTGTATGGCCAGATACATATGTTGGCAATCTATGAATCATTTACAATTATTTATTTACAATGGAATGGATAGGAACACATTAAAATGTGGTAAATTATTTTATTATATTTCCTCATTTAGGAAGCAAGGCAGTGTCTTGAAGAACACACCAACAACATCAAGAATGACAACAAAATATTGCGACATGAACTTCTGCAGTTAATAAGGAAAACCCGTGCTCTACATGAGCACCGTGAAGAACTTGAGGCTCAACATAATGCCTTGCTGCGTGAAATACAGTATGGGCGTGATTTGAAGAAATTACATGGCACAAGACAGAATAGGCTGTGGAAAACATTTGGAATTGATCCCAGTGAACACAAGCAAACAGATACAAGCTCCAATAAAGACAAACTTGCAATTCTGTTCAAGAATTAACATTTTAAACAGCAAGGAAATGTGATTTGAGCATTAAATATTTATTTTATTGTAGAAAACTGTTATGAATTCTATTGTACATAATAAATAAAAATGTTTTTTCATATTGTTTTCATTTAATTCATTTAACTGTAAATGAGATGAATGTTTGTGATTTTTTCCACAACAAATTGCAATAATCAGGGAAAAGAAGCAAATTTCTTTATATGAATTTGCTTTTAATTAAAATTTTCAGATTTTCTCTCCAAGTGTCTTGCCCCATCCCTAATCACAGGAAGCCCAACAGAGCTTTAAGGGGTGAGATGGGGCACAGACTTGACTAAAGCGGATTTCGTATGAGTGGGACACCGTTACCACACGGTTACTGCGCAGTTACCGGACCTGGCCTGCACAATTTTTGTGAACCAATGACACACTAGAATTTGGTTACAGTACGATTATCGGTCACAGTACAGTACCGTCCGTTTGTCACTCATACGAAATCCGCTCTAAATACTTTGTGGCATGTTTCTCATTTCCAAGGAAAACTGTTTGTAATGAGTGAACAAAACAGTTTAGCATGGACTATATTTAATGCCAATTTAGAGATAGTTGAAAGGGAAATTAAGTTTTTTCGCTAACAGTTTTAAGAACTAAAGAAATGATTGCATTTAATGAGTCCATCGTTGGTGAATTGTCCATTGTTTCTACAAATGATTTTCCTTCTTCCACAGATTGAGTAAGGCTTGGATCTAGAGGAATACATCCTAAAGCACAATGATATTTAGTTTTATAACTGATTACTGAGCAGTGTCCCGTTTGTTACAATATGTCCCAGTCTTGCCTGCAGCTGTGTTTAACTAGTCTCCTTCGCAGCCTCCCCTTTTCTCGGGCTTCCTGTCCCTCGTTTAACATTATTGACCAATTTTCACAAGCAATGCAGCAGCTCAACAAAGCTCTTTCATCTGTCAGTAAAACCAGGCTCATTTAACAATAATTGAGCCACTCACAGGCAAAGTGTTGACTCAAGATATTTACATTACTTTTAATTAAAATTTATATACAGCACTTGCTGCAATTTATAACTTACCAAGAAAAGGGACTTTACATTCTTGAGCTAAGGCTTCTCCACCTCCCTTTGAGAATACATTTGTACATTCCTGTCAAAATAATAAAAACCTATGTGAGTAATGCATCTCAGAATGAAAAATATGGTGACAGTAGAGGAGAGTATCAGAAAAATATGCTTGGAGTATGTTGGCAATAACAACAACTCCAGAGTTTGGCTTTGTGAAGGGAAAACATAGAAAGGCATGGAGGAGAACTGGAAAAGGAATAAAAAAGATGAGACAGAAGGACAGGAAAGAATCTGAAAAGAACGTAGTGGATATCACTAGATGGCAAGTTTCTAATCCATTGTTTTGACCTTTTCTATAGTATTCATCAATTCAAATAACTTACACTGCAATGTGGACAAACAAAGCCGCTCATGTTTTCAATTATTCCTATGATGGGTATCTTTGTTTTATTACAAAATGTTACTTCTCTTCGCACATCTGTTATGGCCATACCCTGAAGGAAAATAAATTTTCACAATATCTTTAATATATTATATTAAATATCTTTAATATATTACATCATAGTATATAATTTCATAGTAATGCAACATAGTAATAATGTTCAGAAGCTTTTAAGCATATCATTTTGTACTGTACTCATTATTTATTCATCATTGTACATAAAGTTGCAAATGATAAGAAGTGTCTATGGTTACCTGTGGAGTTGTTACAAGTATTGCACCATCAGGGTTATATTGTCTTAGACTTTCTACAACAGTTATGTGCTCGTCAGAAGTACCTAAAAGTAAGGGTTCATTATATTGCTGCTATTTTTTCAGTGAATGCAAACTCTTCATAGTGTCTTACCAGGAGGAGTATCGATGATGAGGAAGTCTAACTCTCCCCAACAAACATCCGAGAGAAATTGCTTTATCATTGCTGCAAAAAAGAGAAAAAAACACAAACTTGTGAAGCAAGGATCGTAACAATGCTAAAGAAAGGACTAAAATTACCATTTTTCTTTGGTCCTCTCCAAACTATTGCATCATCTTTATTTTGCAGGAGAAAACCAATGGACATCACACCAAGTCTCTGATCTGGGCTTGTATAGACTGGAACCCATCTATAGAGATATACAATTATGAAAAATATAATAACTTTTAAAAGATGATACAATTTATTGGGATTCCCATTTGAGCACTGTATCTTAAGCATGCAATTTGGTGAACAATGAAAACTGTATCAAATCCAGCAAAACTTGAATTTGGACCCCACCCCTTTCTCCTTCCCCTAAGTCACCTCTAGAGGACAGACAATGAAGATAACGCGACGGAAACCCTTCCCCCTTCCCCTGAGGGTACTCACCCATCTGAACACTGATGCACATCTTGATTTTCCACATTCATCATTCTGGGGATACTTGGACCGCAAAGATCAATATCCAACAGGCCAACCTACATAAAAAATCAAAAATGACATCCCTTTCTTACTGCGTGGAAAGAGCTGGATAGAGAGTTGCCTTCCCGTACCTTGTATCCTGATTTGTACAATGACCAAGCTACTTGTGTGGATACAGTGCTTTTACCAACTCCTCCTTTCCCAGACAAAACTAATATCACATGCTTGACAGACTTTAGGCCATCTGGAACTAAAAGACACAATGAATCAAGTAAAAAATTAAGTGGAAAGAAGTTATATAACAAAGTTACCTTCGTCCGCCATGTTGATTTTGTTTTGGGAGACTGCTGACTCATACCACAGGTAGCCCATAAATGAGAGAACAATCTTGTAACCCCGCTATAGTCTCGAGTTTGGCTAAAATATCGAAAATACAAAGTTGTCAACATTCCGGATAAGGGGGGGACATGGCAAAATTGCTTGTATGGGCAGATTGTAGCATAGAACTATTAAAGTGAGCCTACTCGGGACAGAGACATATGATACTAGCAGTTCAATTGGGAGTATCAATTATCAACGACTGATTTAATAACTTACCTTTTGCCCAGACTGCCTTTTTCTTGAGAAAACAAGCAATGCATACCAAGCATGGTACTCTTCACTTTCGCGACGACCCGGCGAGACGAGTAAGCGCTCTAAAAGCGTCCATTTGGTCATACGTACTTCCCGTCATGTCGGTTAAAGTTCAGGAAATTCAAAGTTTAATACAAAAACACATGACCAAAAGGCCTTTTTTTCTACTAGTATTTACAAAATATACTTCTTTAAAGTGCAAAGTTTGGACATATCTAATATTTTCCATCCTTATATGGTAACGCATAATGTCGGAATTCAGTCGATATTTGATCGTCGCACATACGATCGATCCGATCACATGCCGAGTTCAAATGAAATTCAATCGATATCAATTTGCCGAATCTGAAAATTCTATAGCGAGTAAACGATCATAAATATTGGGACAACTATTGAGTCTTCAATGAATTCTTTAACAAGCTGTGGATTTGGGTAAAGAGATTCCTCGATTTTTAATCAAGGATTACCAAAATGGAAGCAATCGCCAAACATTTGTTTAAAGCGACCCAAGACGATGATCTGGGCTTCGAAAAAGGCAGCACCTTGAACGTGAGACCTTTCAAAAATTTGTCCAACTTTTGTGTACATTCTGTTGTCGTGATGACGAGCTTGAAAACAATTTGTCTTCCCTTCCTTAGGTACTTGATATGGAGCAAGATAAAAACTGGTATAAAGCGGAACAAAACGGTCGAGAAGGATGGATTCCGCGAACCTACATCGAAATGAAACCACACGAGTAAGATTAGACTAATTACAACATACCGTAGCTTCTCTGCCGATCCGTTATGTTTGCTGCAACCGTATAAAAATTTATAACCACACATATAAAAGGGCTATTGTTACTAACTTCACACTGGACACAATATTTTTAACTGTAATTTTGGTGATAAGCTGTGACATTCTGTTTACAAAATAGCTTAGTATTGTTTTATTATATAGAGAGATATGTGCAGATGACAGCACCGAAGGTGTAAACACTTTGAAGTTGATCATCCAATTAACAGCATTCGACACCTGAACATTTGAGAGTTGTGTTATTTCTTTGAGTTAGCAGTTATGACAAAGTAAACATGCAAGATGACAACTTTGTTTATTTGCTGTAAAAGAACAGGACTTGTTTGTAATGCAAATTTTTGTGTTTTTCTTTAGTTGGTTTAACGGAAAGATCACAAGAAAGCAAGCCGAGGAAACTCTGCTTCAGCATAGAAGTGATGGTGCTTTTCTCGTTAGGGAAAGCGAAACATCGCCAGGTATAAAATAATTTTGCTCGAAAGAGATCGAGAATGTATTCTTTAGACAAATGCACTTTGCAAGCCAAAAAATCCGAAATTTCACACTATGATGAATTCATTATGTATGCTGACAGTACCTTTCATATTATATTTGGTACTTGTTGAGTTATTAAAACTCATCAATGCAATGAAATATTTAGTTTTAGCTAAGCACTAGTTAGTGAATCTAAATTAAGATTCGATTAAAGTATGAGCTGGATAATTTGTTAACTGCTTATCAATCTTTTATGTTGTGCAGTTTGTTTTATTAATTGAATTTATGCATGATTTTGATCGTATTTATGGGCCTATATCACAAGTTATGCAGAACTATATGCATTCAACACATATTTGTTTGTTTTCCCAGAAATGGCCCCATTAATGGTCATATGTAGAGAAATATGTAGTTGTTGAATTTTGTTATAGTAGTGCAATATTCAATCATAAGAAAAGCCGAATAGGATATAATAATTCCAACAAAAGAAAGTTAAAAAGCTGAAAAGAATGGATCTCCCAACCTCAAACGATAGTTTGAGTCGGAAGCTGAATCAAAAGTGACAACGGACCAGAATAACTTTACCCTGTCTTTTGATTTCATTTACTTGAAAGGAAACAAATTTTTGTAGGATTACATTGTAACATTGAATTATTATTATAAGAGTGAAAGCTAGAACAGCATTGTGAAAACTTACATTGAGCAAAAGTAATTAAAAATATAAATATAATTTATTATTTTTGTTTCAGGAGATTTCTCTTTATCAGTCTGGTGAGTATGTTAAATAGTAGAATAAAGTAAAATGAAGTTTTTTTCCTTATTTCTCCACAAAAATAATACTCTGCAAACAGAGCTACTTTTCTCACCCTCCGAGAAGCGAGTGAGAAAAGTAGCTCTGTTAGCAGATTACAAAAATAATTACCATATAATTACCATATTTTCATTTTTTTTTCAGTTTTCAAGGCCAAGTTCAGCATTTTAAGATTTTCCGTGATGCAGACAGGAAATATTTTTTATGGAACAAACGGTTTGATTCAATCAACCAATTAATTGACTTTCACAGGGACAACTCAGTCAGCAGATCGCAAAACATTATGTTAAGGGACCCTAATAGTGGGAAGGTAAAAATGCTATTTTTTTCCTTTTATCTCTTCTCTTTGTCCTTTCTCTCCCTTTTCCTCTCTTCAAAACTTATTAAATCTACAATGTTTGTATTACCATTACAGATGACAGTCCAGGCTCTGTTTGACTTCACAGCCAGTGAAGAGGGAGAGCTCAGTTTCCGAAGAGGAGACTGGATCACGGTGATGGATGCAAGTAATGAGAATTGGTGGGAGGGAAAAGTTCATGGTAACGTTGGCCTCTTTCCTTCGAATTATGTGACCAAGGGTTAATTGTTCATCTGGAATTAGAATGCTTTGGATATCTTAACACTAATGTATTTGTATTCAGTTGGTCAACACAGCTTGTTAAGAAGTTTAAACTCATTTTTATTGATGCTCTATAGATACATAGAAAAAATAGTGTAAATAACACATAAATACATGTAAATACATGTCAAGGAAACCAAAAGCTACTGCCTGTGTTCTCAGTAAAAATGAGAGAGGTGTAATTTTGATAAGAAATTAGTATAAAAGGCAGTATAAAATTACAGCCACTGTTATATAGAGAACGGCCAATGGCAATGTCCTTGAGTGTATAGTTCTTTCGAAGGTCCATTGTGGAAACATTATGCAACATAATTGCACCTTTGTGGAAAAAACTGGGCTTCCTGTGTTGAATTTAATGACCAATAAGGCTTGTGTAATTTGTATACTTATGATGGTAACTGTCTAATTTTTGTCATTACTTTTATTATAGCAGGAAAGTAGTTTAAGAGTTGTATATAGTATTTTCTCAAAATTGAGAGTTTTTCAGTAAAAGCAATCCTAAATAGTCGTAAACAAGGTTATACCATATTCACTAAGAAAGAAAGTGTATGATGTGGATATTATTTCATTGGAGAAAGCACCACTTTTAAAAATAATTTCAAGGACTTATTCGCAAGAATTTAATAAACTCTGTTTATCTACTATTTCTTTGTGTGATTTGAATTCTTGAGTTTCATGTTGCGATGTCACAAAACGTATATATATTCAACAATATGCATTACACGACAATGCAAACCGGGGGGGGGGGTACTCCCTTGCTACTTTGGTGGGGGGTGTGCCGCTGGGACCTCGAAACCCTGACCCTGTTCCAGAGTGAAATCGCTCATGAAAACGATACCCTGTTCCAGAGTACAATCCAGCACTAGCCTGCGTCTAGACCGAATTTTTATCCCGTGAATTTTTACCTAGCATCAATAATTCCAGAATTAAACCCTGATCCTGTTCCAGAGAAAATTCGTTGAAATCGATACCCTGTTCCAGAGCAAAATCGCTAAAAACAATACGAGAGTAAAATCTGAAAACGATACCCTGGTTGGCGCCACGTCCTTGTATAGCGAATAAAGGGGAGCATCCCCCCCCCCCCCGGGATAGATATTTTATAACTAAAACTCATATAAAAAAAGAAAAAAAATGAGTTTATAATCCTTTGGTTCTCAAGATATGAAAACTTTAATTGTGTCATGCAAACTCATGAGCCTTTGAAAATCAAGAACAATTCAGTGCACCTATCATCTTTCAAATGTTTAGAATTTAATAAATGTGACCTCACTCCTGATGGCATGAGGTGATTTGACATTAGAAGCCAAACAGCAAACTTTGTGATAATTTGGAAAAAGCCCACCACAGGAACTCCACAAATTGATCATGGGATTCCTGTGGATAGTCTTACATAACGCACATGTTTGAACTGTGATGAAACGTTAACAGTAATGATGTTTTATTTAACCACTTAAGAATTGAAAGTCTATGTACGTTAGCTTAGACTATCCAGTTGCTTAGCTGGAATGTTTTGGCGCCAATTACGGTCAAGATTTCGGTCCTGGATTTACGTTGACAATCGGTTGTACAGATCACTGAACCTCTGCCAAGCTAGAGAATTAGTACATAAACGGCGTTTGTCGTCCAAGATATATCTGCAAGTAATTGGTTCCCCTTCTAAAGACACTGCACCTAGTGTTTTGTTATTTACGGACTCTGAAAGGTACCATGTGCTCAATACTCGGTGAATTGTGTAACACTACAGCCATGTGTGTATAAAACTTCTCTCCCTTCTTCCCTCCCCCCTCCAAAAAAAACAAACTTTTCTCCCTTCCCCCCCCCAAAAAAAAGAAAAAATTATCTCCCTTCTATTCACGTTCTGTTCTGCTTCTTATTTTTTCAGGCATTCATTTAATTCATTTATCACCATTTTTTTCAGGTATTTATTTAACTGTGGTGAAAACTTTGCTAAGTTGGCTAAAAACTTGGATTTGCCTTCTTGTCATAATAAGATTTTTCTTACTGGACGACAATGGAAACACATTGGAGGACTTCCACAACTCTATTTCCTGCCACAAACACTCTCTCCTCCTGGAATTCAAATCTTCGGACCTGCAGGGATTTCAGACATCATGGAAAGCACTGATACTTTTACAAAGAGACCAGATGTTCCAGAAGCTTTGATCAAGTGCACTGAGTATGCTAATCACCATGATAGGTATCCATACATTGATAACAATGTGAAAATAAAGCCAGTATCATATCCCTCACATGTGGATGAAACTGAATGTTCTATTTGTTACATTTGCGAAATGACTGATAAGCGTGGTTCTTTTATGGCTAATAAAGCTGACGCATTGAGCATACCTATTGGATCTTGGAGAAACAACTTGCACTGTGGGAATGTTGTAACATTGCCTGATGGTAGAACTGTAAGTTATACAAATAATATATATACAATATSAAATGTGATGATTATACAGCCTTTTGCAAAAATTATGAGAATTGTTGAAATATCTAAATATCATAATATCGAGTGCATGATGGTTAATCCCGCGCGATGCCCTTAGTCCCTTGTCTTTGTAGTTTAGTTTTTTTTTGGCGACAGATTTATCCGTAGTTCTGAACATTTTCTCGATGTCAACAATGAATTATTCTAGCAAACCCTCGTGTTCCAGACAATATATGGATATGGATATTATGATATTTAGATATTTAGACAATTCTCATAATTTTTGCAAAGGGCTGTATATGAGATTATATGATATTGTGCTCAAAAATATGACCCTTTAAAAGTACCTTTTACCTTTAAAAGTACCTTTTAGGGTATGTGTTGTGGAACTGACACCATACCATTGATAGGATCAGTCTTCAACACAGGGTTATGCAAGTTTAAAGAGATCAGAGTCAGGGGGGGCACTAAAAATGGCGTGAATTTGGCAGAAAATTTACATGATAGATTAGTTTGGAGAATGTATCAAATAGAAATTTCCCCCTAAAATTAGCAAATCAATTAGGAAACTAGCTAATTTACTTGTTTGTTTGTTTTTAGAAGATTTATTTGTTTGAAAAAACATGTAGGAGAATTTAATTTTTCCCAAAGTCACCGGCCCCCCAAGCCCCTCCCCTAAATCCGCCACTGTATCTGTACACAACTTTCTTTTAGAAGGGTGTCTTTTCAAGCATTATACATATTTCACTAAGAGTTGTGCTATTGTTTGAATTCAAAATAATGTTTTTGTTGTTGCAATCACCAGATTTATCCACACCAAGTTGTAACACCAAGTATACCAGGCTCATTATTTGCTGTCATTGAGTGTTTATCAAATACCACAATGGATGCTTTACTTAGCTGTGATAACTTTGCACACCATTTTCACTCAAACGACAAGAAACAGTTTGAGGTAATGGTGCATATAACTTCAAAGTCTATATTTGAAAATAAAAAGTACCAAGAATGGATGGCAAAGTTTGGTTCACAGACCACTCACATAGTATTACATGAAAACACAAGAGCTTGCCTGAGTCCTTTTAATATCAAAAGTATATTAGATGCACGTTTGTTTGGCACTGATCCAGTTTTATTTCCTGTTGCTTGGGGCAAGTGGAAATCACCTATTAATCAAGAGCTACCAACAAACTGCCATGAAGGACAGATTGGCTTAAAATACAACTTCCTTCCTCACAAGAAAAAGGGAATTTGTTATTATAGAGTTTATAAGCCCAATTTTAAGGAAAAAACAAATGCATATTTCACAGAAAGAGTGAGAGCACATTTAAATTTTTTTCATTTAACTAACGAGCAGAAGATAGACTATTACAACACCCGTGTGACATTTCTTGGCACTTGTGCATCAAAGCGAACAAAAAGGGGAGGGACGAGCAGTATTCTTGTAGAGCTGAGGTAAGGCTGGAGCCATGCAGTAATTTGTAAACTAAAGTATGTTCTATTTTTTACTGGTATGGTTGGTCTGGTTTCGTATCCCGGGGGGGGGGGGGGTACTCCCTTGCTACT